GCTGCTATCACCGGGTCTATAGTGTCCAAGAGGTTACCCAGGACCAACAACACCTGCTATCACCGGGTCTATAGTGTCCAAGAGGCTGCCCAGGACCAACAACACCTGCTATCACCGGGTCTATAGTGTCCAAGAGGTTACCCAGGACCAACAACAGCTGCTATCACCGGGTCTATAGTGTCCAAGAGGTTACCCAGGACCAACAACACCTGCTATCACCGGGTCTATAGTGTCCAAGAGGTTACCCAGGACCAACAACACCTGCTATCACCGGGTCTATAGTGTCCAAGAGGCTGCCCAGGACCAACAACACCTGCTATCACCGGGTCTATAGTGTCCAAGAGGTTACCCAGGACCAACAACAGCTGCTATCACCGGGTCTATAGTGTCCAAGAGGCTGCCCAAGACCAACAACACCTGCTATCACCGGGTCTATAGTGTCTAAGAGGCTACCCAGGACCAACAACACCTGCTATCACCGGGTCTATAGTGTCCAAGAGGCTGCCCAGGACCAACAACACCTGCTATCACCGGGTCTATAGTGTCCAAGAGGTTACCCAGGACCAACAACAGCTGCTATCACCGGGTCTATAGTGTCCAAGAGGCTGCCCAAGACCAACAACACCTGCTATCACCGGGTCTATAGTGTCTACGAGGCTACCCAGGACCAACAACACCTGCTATCACCGGGTCTATAGTGTCCAAGAGGCTACCCAGGACCAACAACACCTGCTATCACCGGGTCTATAGTGTCCAAGAGGCTACCCAGGACCAACAACACCTGCTATCACCGGGTCTATAGTGTCCAAGAGGCTACCCAGGACCAACAACACCTGCTATCACCGGGTCTATAGTGTCCAAGAGGCTACCCAGGACCAACAACACCTGCTATCATCTTGTCATCACACTGGCTGTCACAGTCTCCTGGCTGGTTCTCTTGTACACCACTATCCCACGAGATCAGAGTCCAGTTTTTTTTCGTGGGTGGAGGCAGGTGGGTGAGGCAGGTGGGTGAGGCAGGTGGGTGAGGCAGGTGGGTGAGGCAGGTGGGTGAGGCAGGTGGGTGAGACAGGTGGGTGAGACAGGTGGGTGAGGCAGGTGGGTGAGACAGGTGGGTGAGGCAGGTGGGTGAGGCGACAAATGCCTCTTCATGCTCCGCTTGCTGTTCTGCGTCTTGCTGGCTCCAAGAGGTTGTGTGTGGGGCAATAAGCACTCAAGGCAAGGAGGAATTAATTCTGTTTTGCAACAAGCAAGTTGCCAGCAGTTAATTATGCAACCCATTTTCCTGTTTAGACGGCAGTTTTTGTAAGTATGTGCTCCATAGTACAAAGATTGCCGGTCTAAGCCATTAGATAGTAGAACTTTGTACTATTCACATTATAGAGTAGGGAAAAATGAAGCTAAAAAACAAACTTAAATATTTCTAGGCCTAGTATAGTACACATATGTACTGTATTAGGCCTCAGATATCTTGTATTAGGCCTAGGAAGGTTAGGTTAGGTTAGTTTGTCTTTCTGACATAAGTACAAAATAGTTTTCCAGTTTGTCCAACTTAATAGTGCTGATTTCTATTTTCTAATTTCGTTGTACGTCGGGATATGTACTATGGTCCTCATCGTTAACTTTCAAAGCAGGAGGATGGGCTGAATTATGTGGTGTCAGCATACACCAGGTGCAAGGAGGAGTAAGTTATGTGCTTCAACAAGAGCAAGTTGCAAGGAACAGCTTATTACATGCAACACTAAGACCGAGTTGCATGGAGAAGATAGTTGGGTGGCGCAAGACTGCCCTAGTTCAGTAGTGCTCCAAGCACTACTCCTTAATGAGACTCATAACTCATATTCCTTAATGATAAACATTGAAGACTTTTGGAGTCTTAAGACTTATATTACCTCCTAGTATTTCCCAATTGTAGTCCCATATGTTATCAAGATACCGATACATCAGCTAATCTTAGACAAGAGGCATAGTTCCTCTTTGTGTTAGACTCAGCACAAGAGCATTTTCTGTAATAAGTGGGCCAATCAGAACGGTCTGCCCAGGTCGGAGGACGACTTGGCACTGCCGCGTATGCACTCAGAGTTGGCATTTTCCTGCAGTTGATGTGGGGTGAGAGTGAGAACCCATAAGGTGGTAGGCAATGAATTTGCAGGTGTTGCAGAGCTGAGATCCACCTAATATAGATCACGGAAACTAATTCATGAAAATATAAAATATAAAATAGCAGTGGTACAGAAATTTAGATAAAATAACAAATTGAAAACAATAACGTCGACAGTAACTCCCTTGGATCTTCTTTCTTCCAAATGGACATCAAGGGAGGATCATAATTAATAACAGTCAACACCAACCTTACGCAAACGATGCAGGGAGCCCCGCCAACACCGTGTGGAACGTGGAGTCGACGTAGAACGACGTGGAGTCGTTCCTCTCTGTGTCCAGGCTATTCCGGTGTGATGACAGTCGTATCCTTGACAGTCACAAACGACCCTCACAATTCAAGTATCAATATCATGCTTCGAACGGATATACAATCCAAAAATCTGTATAAGAGAGAATATCTGTCTTGTCTGTTCGAGGTTGGAGACCAGACGCTTGGGGCTTGACTCATTAAACTTTGCAGGATTAATGGGTGATTTTAACTGGAGTGACATAATGAGGGGGGGGGGGGAGGGTCGGCACACTGCCTTCACGAAGTCTGCGGATGTGAAATATTCGGTGCAAAGTCCATAGACTCTAGGTTTTGCATAACATGACGGGTTTACATTCATGAGGCATCCATTTAGTTGCAGGATGGAGGGAGAGTGTAGGGAAAGTGACTACAGTGGGAAGATGGAGGGAGATGGGATGGAAGTGCTGAGAAGGAGGTGGGTAGAGGGGGGGGAGAGAGAGGGGAAGACTGGAAGGGCGACGGGTGAAGGGGGGGGGGTGATGGGGGTGGGGAGGGTGGAGACGGAGAAGTGTGGTGTGGGGGAGGAAGACCTGTAAGTTTGGATGGGAGATGACAGGACCCGGGCACCGATGGGCTTCCCATTTATCTATAAAAGAGAATGTCTGTCTGTTTCCTTGTGTGTTGAAGGTTGAAGGTTGAGGTGAGTACTGGCCTGAGGCCAGTAGACTCACACACGTCTACATGGTGACTGGTTTAGTTATGGGGCCTCAGAGTGTGGTCCAGGTCATTTACAGTGATGGAGACAGTGTGCTGTGATAATGGTTACAGTGATGACAGATGACTGTCAAGGTGTGGAACTAGGGTGAGGGGGGGAGTGTATATGTTGCAATATGTTGCAAGGGATGGGGAGGATTTGTGTGTGCAGGGGGAGGGGGGTTTAGGGGGAGACCTGTGAGGGCGTGTCGGAGAGGCCTGGGTATAGGGTCTAACTGGGCACCGTATAAGTGAGAATGTCTGTTTGTCCAAAGTTGAAGGCAGCCGCAATCCACTTGGGGCTAGCCTCATCCAACTTTGCAGGGGAAATGGTCTGGGGTACGGGACGGACATGGGCTGGTCGGGGTAGGCCTAGGTAAAATGCTTTAATAAATATTTGCATTTATTTAGATCTCTGCAACTTTATAAAATTACGTGTGATATGTTTGGTGCTATTTCCCTAGACTTTTCAGTGATCGTAATAAGATATTTTCTGAGAGACCCCAAGCAGTTATTTCAATGCTTTTTAGTATATTTTCTGAGAAAGAGGAAGAGTAGGGACACAATAGAGTTGGGAAAGTGAGGGGGGGGGGTAATGAGAGAAGGAACGACTTGGAAAGCAAGTGGACAGGGAATAGGGGGGGGGATGAAAAGGGAGATTGAATAAAGTGTTAAGAGGGAGAAAAGGTAGAAAGAGGAAGGGTATTCTCTCCATATACATAAATGAAAATGTTTTTCTGTTCGAGGTTTGAGGGAAGAAAGGGAGGGTGGGGACAAGGGGGGATGAGAGGGACACTAGGGGTGGGGGAGGAGAGGAGATGGGGGCAGAGGAGAAGAAGAGGAATGTTTGAATGGAAGAGGGGGGATGTAGGGAGAGGAGAAAAGAAGAGGAGTGGAATAGGGAACGGGGAAGACACACACTATCCCGGGCACCGCCGGGTACCCCTCCGAGTACTCAATACTTTAGATGTTAGTGCCACATCACTTGTAAAGTGTAGTCATATATGGAGGGTGTAACTAGGCGGCAGGAGCCAGACAGCTACGATGCAACACTCCTCCACAAACACCACCATCACAACACACAACCACAAGCAAGATACAAGTACTACGAAAACATAAAATATGTAAAATCCTCTTAAATATAGCGAGGTGCTTCAGCCCCGCTTCCCGCGCTGCACATGTTCCCATGCTCACCGTGCTGACCGTGGTGTGGCATACCGCGCATAACATGCCTAAATAGTATGCTGTCCATCATACTGTTTAGTATGATGGTCATCCCGGAGTATACCTCCACACTACAGCAGTCCCCCCTCCAGTCTTAACATGGAGGGGGGACTAGTCAAAATCTCCCACTTCTCAAACGTTGTGGAAGTGAGGGAGGAACGAGGGCCGAGTATGACAAACTACACTAGCAAACAGCGTGTGTGTTGTGTGAGTGGGCGGGTAGCGGAGGCGGATGTATGGACCACAAACACCTCACCTTCCTCATATTTGCCTCCCAGGTCCCTAGTGGCCGTCTCTGGCCCCTAGTGGCCGTCTCTGGCCCCTAGTGGCCGTCTCTGGCCCCTAGTGGCCGTCTTTGGCCCCTAGTGGCCGTCTCTGGCCCCTAGTGGCCGTCTCTGGCCCCTAGTGGCCGTCTCTGGCCCCTAGTGGCCGTCTCTGGCTCCACCGCCATCCTCAACGTCCGCACCTTTTTATCACTTCACCCTCCTACATGTAAATTTGGGCGCTTTATGCCGTTCCTTCCCACTAATAACGCTGTTAACGTCGGGTGTAGTTGGTGGCCGCAGGTGTGGCGGGCAGGTGTGGCGGGCAGGTGTGGCAGGTAGGTGTGGGGGGCAGGTGTGGCAATATTATGTCGCATGTTGACTTACACTCTGTGAACCTTTTGGCTCTTGTGGGAGAGTGGAAGGTGTCATCTCACCACCATCATACCGTCAACTCCCCCACCATCATACCGTCAACTCCCCCACCATCATACCGTCAACTCCTCCACCATCATACCGTCAACTCCCCCACCATCATACCGTCAACTCCCCCACCATCATACCGTCAACTCCCCCACCATCATACCGTCAACTCCCCCACCATCATACCGTCAACTCCCCCACCATCATACCGTCAACTCCCCCACCATCATACCGTCAACTCCCCCACCATCATACCGTCAACTCCCCCACCCATCATACCATCAACTCTCTCCCACCATCATACCGTCAACTCCCCCACCATCATACCGTCAACTCCCCCACCATCATACCGTCAACTCCCCCACCATCATACCGTCAACTCCCCCACCATCATACCATCAACTCCCCCACCATCATACCGTCAACTCCCCCACCATCATACCGTCAACTCCCCCACCATCATACCATCAACTCCCCCACCATCATACCGTCAACTCCCCACCATCATACCGTCAACTCCCCCACCATCATACCGTCAACTCCCCCACCATCATACCGTCAACTCCCCCACCATCATACCGTCAACTCCCCCACCATCATACCGTCAACTCCCCCACCATCATACCATCAACTCCCCCACCATCATACCGTCAACTCCCCCACCATCATACCATCAACTCCCCCACCATCATACCGTCAACTCCCCCACCATCATACCGTCAACTCCCCCACCATCATACCATCAACTCCCCCACCATCATACCGTCAACTCCCCACCATCATACCATCAACTCCCCCACCATCATACCATCAACTCCCCCACCATCATACCGTCAACTCCCCCACCATCATACCGTCAACTCCCCCACCATCATACCGTCAACTCCCCCACCATCATACCGTCAACTCCCCCACCATCATACCGTCAACTCCCCCACCATCATATCGTCAACTCCCCACCATCATACCGTCAACTTCCCCACCATCATACCGTCAACTCTCCCACCATCATACCATCAACTCCCCCACCATCATACCGTCAACTCCCCCACCATCAAACCGTCAACTCCCCACCATCATACCGTCAACTCCCCACCATCATACCGTCAACTCCCCACCATCATACCGTCAACTCCCCACCATCATACCGTCAACTCCCCACCATCATACCGTCAACTCCCCACCATCATACCGTCAACTCCCCCACCATCATACCATCAACTCCCCCACCATCATACCGTCAACTCCCCACCATCATACCATCAACTCCCCCACCATCATACCGTCAACTCCCCCACCATCATACCGTCAACTCCCCCACCATCATACCGTCAACTCCCCACCATCATACCGTCAACTCCCCCACCATCATACCGTCAACTCCCCCACCATCATACCGTCAACTCCCCCACCATCATACCGTCAACTCCCCCACCATCATACCGTCAACTCCCCCACCATCATACCGTCAACTCCCCCACCATCATACCGTCAACTCCCCCACCATCATACCGTCAACTCCCCCACCATCATACCGTCAACTCCCCCACCATCATACCGTCAACTCCCCCACCATCATACCGTCAACTCCCCCACCATCATACCGTCAACTCCCCCACCATCATACCATCAACTCCCCCACAATAAAAAATTACTACAAGAACTCTTAGCCTTTTTTCTATTATTTATGCTAGTTTTGAAATGTTCTCAGAGAGCAAAGTTGTGAATGTTGGCGAGTGGTGGAGGAAGTGTTGGCGGGTGGTGGAGGAAGTGTTGGCGGGTGGTGGAGGAAGTGTTGGCGGGTGGTGGAGGAAGTGTTAAAGATAGAGAATTGATTGTTGGCGTAGTGTTGGGGTGAGAGGCGACTAACACTGGTTTAATGAACTTATAAAACATTAATAGAGTGTATTATAAGCTTAATATTCTTGCCATACTTGTATGTCATATTACAGTGTAATACTCCTGTCTTGCCCAGGCACTGACCTGTCCTCACACTTTGTCTCGTGTGTGTGTAAGCTACGGACACAAACACACAAACATCACGCATGTGAGAAACAATAAAGCATCGGAAATGTTCGCTTTATTGTTGAGTACTATTGAGTAACAACGTCGATGTGTTGTGTGTAAGTTCGCACGCTTTGGTACGATAAGTGCGTACATATTGTACGCTTGTCACATGTTGGAATGTGTAACGTTTGTCATATATGAGAGTAGATATGTTTAATACACAACTCGTCTAGTTGTGCTTCTGAGGGTTTAGCGTCAATGCTCATTGACGCATTGTAAGTTGTTCAACTGAACATTCTTCCAATGGTCGTCCATCGTATTTCAGTACCACTGTTTGTGAACATGGAAACATATTGACCACAATTATAACTACGATACTTTTTCTTGATATAAAAGAGGACTTTTTAATATATATCTTGTCGCATGAAAGCAAGCCGGATAGATTGTTTTGATAGTGATCGCGTTCACTGCTCTGTTAAGTAAGTCTGTACGATTTGGTTAATGTTTTTTTTTCAATCTTGGTAAATTAACGTGACACACACACACATACACACACACACACACACACACACACACACACACACACACACACACACACACACACACACACACACACACACACACACACACCAAAACAAACACCAAACACAGAAGACGCACTCAAAAATAGTTTTAATTATTCATGACTGTTAAGTGGCCCTCTAGCGGACGCTGTGTGTATAATCAGTTGTGTTTAACAAACACTGAAGAATTATGAGAGTGGTGAGGCCAGCACCCAGGGTGAGTGGTGAGGCCAGCACCCAGGGTGAGTGGTGAGGCCAGCACCCAGGGTGAGTGGTGAGGCCAGCACCCAGGGTGAGTGGTGAGGCCTGCACCCAGGGTGAGTGGTGAGGCCAGCACCCAGGGTGAGTGGTGAGGCCAGCACCCAGGGTGAGGCAAGATGCTGACGGAACACCTTCACGGGTTACATTATAGTGACAGTGCCGCCCGTCTTATGGACGGACGTCACTGTCACTGGTGAAGTTGGCGCTGTTGTATACACTGTTGTGCGTGTGTTCGTTTGGGTGTGTTCGGTTCTCGTTGTATTGTGTATATTCACAGGTGAGAGAGAGAGGGGGGTGCGGGGGTAGAGCTTTGGCTCTTTGGTCCTACCTCTCAACTGTCAATCAACAGGTGTACAGGTTCCTGAGCCTACTGGGCTCTATCATATCTACATTTGAAACTGTGTATGGAGTCAGCCTCCACCACATCACTGCCTAATGCATTCCATTTACTAACTACTCTGACACTGAAAAAGTTCTTTCTAATGTCCCTGTGGCTCATTTGGGTACTCAGCTTCCACCTGTGTCCCCTTGTGCGTGTATCATCCGTGTTAAATAATCCATCCTTGTCTACCCTGTCAATTCCCCTGAGACTCTTGTATGTGGTGATCATGTCACCCCGAGCTCTTCTGTCTTTTAGTGTCGTGAGGTGCAGTTTCCTCAGCCTTTCCTCGTAACTCATGCATCTTAGTTTTAGGATTAGCCTAGTAGCATACCTCTGAACTTTCTCCATCTTCGTCTTGTGCTTGACAAGGTATGCTAGGGCCGCTTACCCCAGGATTGGCCTTACATATGTGGTATACAAGGTTCTGAATGATTCCTTACACAGGTTTCTGAAGGCAGTTCTGATGTTAACCAGCCTCTCATACGCCGCCGATGTTATTCTTTTAATGTGGGCATCAGGAGACAGGTTTGGGGTGATATTAACTCCTAGATCTTTCTCTCTGTCTGTTTCTTTAAGAACTTCATCTCCCATTCTGTATCCAGTGTCTGGCCTCCTGTTTCCTCTCCCTAGTTTCATTACCTTACATTTATATGGGTTGAACTTTAGTCGCCATTTGTTGGACCATTCATTCAGTTTGTTTAGGTCATCTTGTAGCCTCATACTATCTTCCTCCGTCTTAATCCTCTTCATAATTTTTGCATCATCAGCAAACATTGAGAGGAACGAGTCTATTCCCTCTGGGAGATCCTTTACATATATCAGGAACAATATAGGTCCAAGAACCAGTGGAGTTCCTGAGGGACTCCACTGGCGACGCCTCGCCACTCCGAGACCTCATCCCTCACAGTGACTCGTTGTTTTCTGTTGCTAAGGTACTCCCTTATCCAGTGGAGCACTTTTCCTGTCACTCCTGCCTGCATCTCCAGTTTGTGCACCAGTCTTTTATGTGGCACTGTGTCAAAGGCTTTCTGGCAATCCAAAAATATGCTGTCTGCCCAACCCTCTTTCTTGCCTGATTTTTGTTGCCTGCTCATAACATTCAATCAATCCTGTTAGGCATGATCTGCCATCCCTGAACCCATGATGATGTTTTTGTTACAAAGTTCTTCCGTGTGTGTGTGTGTGTGTGTGTGTGTGTGTGTGTGTGTGTGTGTGTGTGTGTGTGTGTGTGTGTGTGTGTGTGTGTGTGTGTGTGTGTGTGTGTGTGTGTGTGTGTGTGTGTGTGTGTGTGTGTGTGTGTGTGCGCGCTCACAGGCCATGCACTAATAGAACTCATTTCTTTCATCTGTTGCTTGTTTCATCACTATGTAATTTTGTAACGCTATTCCAGAGCAGTCTGGCCTTGGAGTAATTGTATTATACAACAGCTACATTTTAAATGTTATTTGTTTTGTTAACTTTTTAATATGTCCATCTGTTCAGCACCTTAATAATAATAATAATAATAATAATAATATTATTATTATTATTATTATTATTATTATTATTATTATTATTATTATTATTATTAAGAAAATCCACACGGGCTGTGAGGTGGCGCGACCTAGCGACCAGGGCGGCGGCCAGCCACACACTGTCTGGCAGTTGGTCGCAGGTTCGAGTCGCCCTCACTGCCCCGCTGGATTTTCTCATTGATATATATCATGTTAGTGTGATTTATGTATGTATTATTATTATTAGTAGTAGTAGTAGAAGTAGTAGTATAGTAGTAGTGGTAAGAGTAGTAGTAGAAGTAATAATAATATTATTAATAATAGTAGAAATATTTATAATAATTTATAGTTGTTTATTGTAAGTTTTCTGACTTGTTTTTGCTTTATGATTTGTGTTGGTCTGAGACTGGTATAATAAAATATTCCTACCTTGGGAATTTGTTTTATATTAGCTTTGTAAGATCAGAGTTGTCTTTGGTCTCCTGTTTTTCCTGTATCTTGTATTCATCTTATTATGCAATATTGCTTCGAGGTTCTTGGCTCTTCTGTGTATTGAGCTTCTCTTTAATTATTCCACGTCTTGCAAATATTCTCATAAAAAATGTCCTCTAAAATGACAAGAATGTGAAAATGTTCGTCTCTGCTTTCCTGTTAGTGAAGGAAAGTGCTTTTTTGAAGTGCTTTTTTGAAGTGCTTTCCTGTTAGTCCTGTTAGTGTCTCTCCCCGTGAAGGTGTTGATGGTGTCTCCGTCTCTTCCTGCATTATCACTCACTATGAATGTTAAATTTCCTTAATAAATTTTACATTAGTATTCATGAGCCGTTATCTAAACACCTTTCTGTTCATCACCATAAAACAAAATACATTAACAATCCCTTATCTAAATCACTATATAAATTCCCTCTAATTACACCTTCCAAAACAACCAGGACCTGAGAACTACTACCCCACGCTCACGAACTACAGGTTGGCGAAAATATATATATATATGTAAATCCGGGCCATTTTCCCGGTGGTGGGAGGTGGACTGTGGCCGGGAGGGTCCGGGTCTCCGGGCCCGGCCCTCTACCACAACCCGTGTCCGCTCCCCCATGTCCACAACCTGTGTCCACACCCGTGTTTACCATCCACTTGATGACGACGCTTACAGAATGGAAATCAAGAGTTTCAAACAAAGCTTGCCGAAGTTTACTCTGGATTATTTTCCATATAACGACGACGGGGGAAATAGGAGAAAGGGTGAATAACTCTTTTTTAGTGATCCATCGGCAAAGTTTTGCCATCTGGTGGGAATCTGCAATTCAACTGTGAGAGTCATTAAGCACCTTCTCTGTCATTAACTGGTGGAATTCCAGCCATTGTGCGGAGTTTACGAGAGTTTGGCCAGGCAAGAAAATTCTCGGGCAATCTTGCAACTATGAGATTCAGGTGATTAGCCTCAGAATCGCTAATTAACTCATTTGGATCGTTTGACAGGTGGAGGAGGCTGATGGATCTGCTAATGAGTGTGTGTTTGGGTCTGGCCGTGCCAGTAATTGTTCCTTCAACTCCCAGTGTCTCCCGCTAATTACCAACCCGCGCAGCGCTTCTCTCTCCTCCAGTGCCTTTGTTCTTTTTCATTTATATATTATTTGGCTTTATTTTGGCTGTATTTTATACACTAAACACTGGCCAGATTAGGAATGTTTACCACAAGGAGGCTTACTGGTAACATACTGCGTGCTCTTGAGGGTAGCACGCAGTTCCTCCCACCACCGTAACCGGCGGTGGGAAACGGCTCTGGCGAAGTTACGTATTGACCATACCCGTTTAATTCGTGGGCACTTAATGGAGCGCCGCCCTGCTCCTTATTGTCCAGACTGTATTGTCCCTCTTACGGTCGTGCATATTTTTGTTGAATGTTCGAACTTCCAAGATGCTCGTGTGTCTTGCTTCCCGACCGTCCCTCGCGGTCACTTCTCTCT